AGTGCAGGCACTCCAGTTTATAAGTATATATATGGCAGAAGAGTTATCAAAGTAGATAACTCTTTCAGAAACTCTGTTCATTCCTACATTGTGTGGGTTTTGTTTGGGTTTGTAGCTGTATTTTAAGTGAGAAAAAGCAAAAGTAATATGGTTTTGGGTTAATTTGGCAGTAACCTTTAATTTATTTTTCCACTGCAAGTCACGTCATAGTCTAGGATACTATAGGTAGTCCAGATACCTAGATAGTCCAGGATGCTGTTTCAAGTCAGGAGGCTGTGTGCCATATTGGACTGAATTTTATTTAAAGTCTTGAGCTTTAACTTTGATTTCAAGTTTCCAGAGTGATTGATTATGGAATTTTTACTATTTGTGGTCAAAATGAATAAAGTTCTTTGTGTATAACAGTTAAGCTATGTGAGGGTTACTGAAGGGAATGGAATGTTTCAGTTCAAGTATATTGTGTCTTTTGGAAATATTTAGAACTTCAACAAATGATCTTTCATGTGGTTGATATTTTCTTTTTTAATCTTGCAACACAAAATATCCCCAGACTTCCAGGAGCTGGCTTGTCATTTCTTAATGCAAAGAATGTTTTCCCAGACAGCTCTGCATTTCACACTTTTACCTGTTTAAAACTAGACACTTGTGTAGCAAGTATTTAACAATAATATGAACATACTATAATCTGGAACCATTTGCTGTAAACTCTATTCCCTGAGAAAATCTTTTGGGGATGTTGCAAGATGCGCTGTGCTACGCTGTACTTGTATTATAGGGTTAGAGTATATGAGATGCTAGCACCAGTTTCTACTTACTTTTAAAAATGATGCATGTATTCTTACTTGGCTGCTTGCCTTCTAAGGTTATAATCACATCCCACTCTCAGTTGTTTTGATATAAAATTAGAATAATTCTATCTAACTGATAGAGTTTATGCTTGTGTAAATGAGATTGAAATCTGGATGTTTCTGAGAAAACACTGACATAATTTTAGCCCCTGAAATGTGGTCTATTGTAAATGTCGTGATTTTTGTGAAATCAGAAGCAATAATTGCTGAAAAATAGGCCTGGAGCTCCCATTAGGAGCTATTTCCAATTCACCCTTCAATGTACTTTTGAGAACAATTCTGGGGACAGTGCCCCTTGCAGGCAGCCTTTGGGGTTTTTGGTGTTGTCTGTGACAGCGCGGTGGAGGAAGGAGGGAGCACCTCCTCCTTCTGCTTCAAAATGCCTGGATGCTTTTTGCTTTGAAAAACAAACTCGTGCCTTGGCCTAGCCCACCTCTGACTAATTCCAAGATGAAAAACAAATGTCTGGACTGATGGGAGCAGCTGAAACAGGTGGTTGTTAAGGAAAACCTTACGTAGACTTGCCTCATTCATTTTTCATGTGAGTTAAGAGATGTTTATTCCTATGTTTTTAAAAGGCTAGAGGCTTGTTCTATTTTAGGCTATAGTTCTTCCTTGCCGAGAATCACTAAGCATGGGTGGATGAGTGTATGTACAGTGCTCACTGTCTTCATCTGTTTCCTTTCTTTAACAGTACCACCAGCTTCAGGATGAGTATTTCACCAGTGCTGTAGTTCTCTCACTAATTCTAGCTGCCTTATTTGGCCTTGTCTACCTTCTGATAATACCACAGTAAGTTCGTGTCTTTTGCCCTTATGATTCCAAGTGGAAAGTCCTCAGGCATCCTGCGCAAATGAAAACATTAAAGTCTCTGCAAGGAGAATTCACACAGTGATTATTAGTGCCAGGTCTGCAGCTTCTCGAACCGGAGAGTCTCTGTTGGTGTATCCTGAATCTGACTGTTATCTCTTCCATTTGCCAAAGCAGCCAGGGCGTTAGTCATAGCTGGCTTATTTAAAACAAATTCTTCCCTCTTCTCTTCGTTTTAGTCTTTATAATTTTTGGGAGGATGTGTTTAGAAGAAGAAAATGCTGAAATCTGGGAAACTAAATTTAATTTAAAACATTTCCACACTGAAAATAAAGGTGTTACTGTAACTTTTCTAGATGCATGTGAGCTGGCTTTGAACCAGTTACTTCAGGTATTGGTAGCAACATAGATAAAGCTAAACAGAGCTTATCAGGGACTAAGCACTGAAGTATCCATCCAGCTTTTCAACACAAATTTATAGCCTGCATTGAGCTTTTTGCTATCGGTGCTCTCACTACCCAAGCTGCCTAAAGCAAGGTTAGTTTGTCCATTTATATATGAGCTTCAGTCAGACCTTGGCTGCTCTAAAATAGACATAGCCAAATACTCATGATGCATTTGGGGGTGTATTTTGACTGAGTGCTTATTTCGGAGTGATACAATTTAGCAATTAATTCTGAGTTTTGTCTGTTCTGTATAAATGCTTACTAAAGAAAAAAGAAATTAGACTTTACTTTCTCATCTGAGGGTTATAATAAGTAGGTATAATTATTTTTCAGATTATAAAATGATTAAAAATACCTTTTTTCATATGAGAATATCAAAAACATTCAAAGTTAGATTTTCATCACTTTTACTAGAATTTCAATGGGAATAGAATTGGCCATAGAATAATGCTTTTGAAAATCCCATTATTAGCCCAGCTCTTTTCTATTTACAAATCTCCAATTAGAATAATGCTTACTTTTTATATGGTTTTATCATTTTTAAATGAAAGTTTAAGAGACATCGTTATTGCTAAATGATGATAATCACCATTTAAAGTTGTTCTATAACACCTTTCATCTGAAGAATTCAAAGCCACTTACAGAAATCGTGTAATTACCGTAGACCTCTACCGACCAACTGAAGCATGGTAAAGAACTGTCTCACTTTCTTCTGAAGTAAAGTCCCGCTGCAGTACATAGCATTTTAGAACAGCGAAAGACAAAGAATAGTAGCATAGTTGAAACTAGAATGACATTTATTGAATCATATGACATGGCAGGTTTGTAACCTTTCCAAAAAGTAGCATCACTTCTTAAAGACCAGCTGGACAGAAATTCAGTTTAACCGTTAATCCGACAGGCACAGGAGCTCCAGCTGAACCTGACCGCTGAACGCCACGCTGATCGGCGTTCGTGGATTGGTTCATCATTGGTCAGTTAGAAAAGCCAACTGCTGAATCGTCAAAGTTACTTCTTCCACTGTGTATGGGAGGTGTCCTTAGACAATAAAAGTACCAGCCTGTTCTTACTCTTCTGTAGCTGTGACACCAGGTGCAACCACAAGCTAGACTGAAACTTTGGAAGTACCATAAAATTTCCCCTCTCCACAAAACTTTGAACTTTAAGTTGCTGATTAGATTGCCAAAAGTGGTTATGAGTATGATGAGAGAATACAACAGCCAAGACAAGTGTAATGTGTTACTATAATGGGAGAGGTGATAATAATAGTGTTTGACATGTATCGCAATATTCCAAGGAGGAGGTTCAAAATCTAGAGAGGAGACAACCTTGTAGGAAAGCCGGTTGCTGCATAAATACACAAAAAGCAGTGGGCTTGACATTCTCACAGTTCTTGTGATCATCTGAACAAAACAGTTTCTCAGCTCAAGAGGTATTTATGTCCCCAGATGGAGCTGGTGAAAGTAAGGCTATGTTCCCATCAACCTAAACTGTCCAGTTATGGGGGCATGCATATACCGTAGCCCCTAGAAGCACTGGTGATGAACCTTTCTGATATCCTATGCTGCATTTATTTTTAAAAAACAATGTGACTCTTTGTTGCTAGTGCCAACCCAAATCTCTGTCAGGGTCCAACTTGGAACAAGCTCTGTAGTTTGCTGTAACTGCCTTAAAAGATGCTGTTGCAGTCATACCCCCTCCATTTTTTTTGTAGTGTACCGCCATCCTGAATAAAAGCCAGTTATCTAAAAGAATGGAGGAGCCTGCTGTCTGTTATTACTTGTATTTAGAATTCGCACTGTGACAGCATTTAGAGTCACCTCCCTATTCTGGATATGCATAATATGCAACAGCCTTTTCCCTGCTGGTGTGTTAAGGGGAATTCTTATATGAGTTTGGAGTCAAGGTCAAATACTAAGAAATTCTACAGTAGGAGGGACACCCTCTCTTTCTTCCAGTGTTATGATCCTATACTACCAGAAGCCTTTTCTCAGTAATAGTCAAGAGCACATATAAATGCATGCATGCAGCCACAATTCTCATCTGATCTAACTGAGTTCTTCTCACAAGAGTATAAAAAAAGATGTGAAGGTCATGCTATGCTACTGTTATGTAGCCTCATACCCATGGCTGTCAGGGGACCAGGCAATTCCCTAGCATAAATCGGAGCACCAGCACTGGTGGTCTAATTTTTGCCAGATTGTTCACATCCATAAGGTATTATCCCAATAACACAGGCTTGCTGGAGGAAGGAAATGGTGGGCCGGTACCCCTTTTCTTATATAGAGCAGGCATATTTTGGAAGATCAGGAGAAGGAGGATTAAGAATTATAATAATTATCACAGCATCTTTGTGAAATCTAAGATCTTTTTAACCATTGAGAAAGTCTCAAAAGGAGGAGGTTGCTTTGTTTCATTGAAAGAGGCGATCACAATCTGGTCTGATTTTATTTGACTTGTTCAGCGACTGAGTTGACTGACCTCTGATTTCTGTATCTTTGAGGAGAGAAACGAAAAGAAAAGGGTCTGGTATCTGTTATACAACTGCCAAGGCCTGAAGGCCAAGTAATTGGGTTGCCCTCTCCACAAATAGAATATTCTGCATTAACCTAAGATTAGAAAGATTCGCTCCTGAGACACTGTACAGTTGAATTTTTGAGATACTTTGCTCTCCTTGCTAAAGTCCTAGTGGGTATCACATACAAGAACGTTTACACATTTCTTGTTCTTGAGAGCAGCACGTTTTGCTGTCAAATTTGAAGTAAAAGAACAAGGAAAGAAACTACCAGAATTTCCTCTATGACTGTTGGTTTTACAGCAGGAGTGAGGGGAGGGCACCTTCCAGCATTTATCCAACATACCCTTTCAGAATAACCCTTATTCTGTCAGTTCCCATCTGCTATGGAGTTGCACCGCTCTATTTCTGTTGTGTTTTGATTCTAGGAGTACCGTAGTTCTCGTTCTCCTGGTGTTCTGCATATGCTTCCTAGTGGCTTGTATTATGTACCTACATGTCACACGAGTACAAGTAAGTGATTTGAGATTTTATGACTATTCTTTCTTTTGGTGGCGATGCTTTGCTTGTCCTTTGGAACGTGGAGCATCGGTGCCTGCTTCACAGCATCAGAGAGTTTGAAGTCCTGTTCTGAAACCTAATTTATCCTAATTTGTTGCAAAGCTATATGTGAGGAACTCCAGAAAGAAAGAAAATTCCCATGAAGGTATAGTTTTTACATGAGCAATCTTCACAGCAATGCAGAGAGGGTTCTGCGCCATTAACCCTATGCGTTTTCTTTTGCGGCATTTTACCTGAATATCTACCACTAGCTATCGGATCATTCCAGTGCCCAGATAAACAACTGCTTTGACCTGACTTTTTCTCCTTTCTGACTACAGAACGTGCTAGTTGTCCCTTCCACGCTGACTGATGTCTGAGTGTAAAGTCCTGCTAACTTCCTTTCTGTTTTCAAAACTTTTCCTGCCAGAGCTCCCATTGACTGTAAAGGACAATGTTTTACATGCGCACCCCTGGCCTTTACAAAACCTTTTGTAATGATTAATTCTCCTGCATTACATTTTCACAACAGTAATGAAGCGGAAGGACATTTGGTTGTGGTAGAAAGAGAAAACCTGCCAGATCAGAAGAAAGGATTTTATGGTGAAAGAAATCCTTACTGGCTTGATCTAAATTTAGGCTTTTCAGACAAATATCAGGATAAAACACCTACACAGCCACTCAGTTCTGCTGATTAGCACACACTCTGTTTTAGTTAATGCTCTTTGGCAAGAGGAGAGTAATTGTTTTCATGGAAACATAAATAGTTTAATTAGCAGAGTATCTGGTACAGACTAGATCTTTATTTTTAAATTTACACAACTACTTGGAAGTAATTTTGATGATCTCTTTTGTCTCAGGAATGCATAGCAGTTTATCTTCTGTTGTTCTGTGTGTGAGTGCTAGAAATACAGATGAACTTGGTAGGAAATCACTCCTCTTTATGACATTTCTCTGGAGCAGTCAGCAGGTTTTGAATTTATTCCAGACTCCTCTAGTGAACTGAATCGTACCTTACAGGATTGGATTCTGCATTAGAAAAATAAATACAAAAATTCAGATATAGCAGTTTGAAATTGTGTGGAGAAGTTTTGCCTCATAAAATCTGTATAGGAGCGTAAACTGGGTATTCCTCTATTTTAATCAGTCTTTTGGCACTTATCTGCTATTTAGCACTGGGCAAGTAACTCAACTTCTCCATGCTTTTGTATCTCCCTCATAAAATCGCTATAATAAAATTTAACTCTACCAGTTACCTACCGTACAGGGGATCTGACAGCATTTCTTTAGCTAATAATAATTCTGCAAATAAAAGAAAACAAAGAAAATGAAGCTCCAAATGGTATGCTAACATGAAAGAGCTGATGCAGTCTTAGAAGGACCAACATCAGAAATATAAACTTTTAAATGCCAGATAGAGCTTTAATTGAGACTTGTCTCTCATACTTTGCCTTTTAATGTTTTATTTTCCTTTTTAACCCAATAGACTAACATATCAACTCTTATAACGTATATGCACCACAAAATAAAATGCCTATGTAGTGTGTCAGACCTCTCTTTGAGTCAGCATTTTGCCTTGTCGTTATTAACCATGCGACGTTATCTTCAAATTATGGAGACTCTCAGCATTTTGTTATTACTGCTTTTATCTGTGTGAGTGATAAGGAATTCATTCTTAAATTTCTTCTATTGCAAAATGAATTAATGCAATATGTGTATTTCCTTTGTACAAAATGTTTATAAAGGCGTTTTATCTATATAGATAAAGATGCGCATGTTTCGTGTCACATGTGCATAGGATTTCAGTAGAGATGGCTGGACAGCCAGATGGGTGGACAACTAAATAGGTGAAAAACAATCTGGATGACCAGGTTCAGAAGGTAGTGGTTAATGAGTCATGCTCTACTTGGAGGCCAGTAACAAGTGGAGTACTCCAGGGTCTGCACTGGGACATGTCCTGTTTAATGTTTTTATGAATGCAAATTTTTATTCTACAATATGATCACTGTTTTATTAGAAGTGTTAATCTCTAGATATCCCAGATTATTTTAGTGAAGCTGACTAATAGTTAAGCTAGTTGCTCATGTAACCCATTTAATTTGGGCCCATTCTGTTTTTACTGTGTTTATACAAATCTACTGCTGATATTCATTGGTTATTTCCCAGCTATGTTTATGTGGACTTAATCCATATTGAAGCCAGAGTGTACTTGCAAATCGCATAATACGCATGTTTTTTGTTGCTTCTCTGTTTGCTATATTCTGATGTTTTGCAGTGCAGGTGAAGCCAATTCACCTGTGACTCTCTGACTTGAACGCAGGTCACACACGTAGTGGAAATTTCTGTGCCTATGTAAAAGAAAGAGGAGGTGTTTCAATGTATGATTTCTGTTGTCTCAAGTGTGCAGAAGCCCCTACTCTGTGGCCTGTGGGAAGTCTACATTTGTTGTTGTTGTTACCCAGCAGGTAGACAGGTTTTATTCAAAAGTCATGACTTGCGTCCGAAAATTAATCTTTCTCTTGCTCCATTTGATCACAAGTCAAATCCAGCCTTGATGAATCTGAGTCACCTCCCTTTCAGGAAAAACACAATTGTCCCCCCTTCAAATTTCATTGTTTCCTCGAGCTGATTCTTGCCCCTTGAAGTCACTGAAGAATTCCTGTGGTCTCAAAGACATATTGTGGATACCCTAGATCCCCCTAGATGTCCCAAACACTCCCTGCTAAGGGGAAAAGGAGGAAAGCAGCTTTCCCTGAGACCGGAGTAGATCAGTATGACTAGAACAAGCATAAGTACTAGTGCTTGACAGACTTATGCTTCTTTTCTCACCTTCTGTTACTGGCTTCGTGTGTGCTCACAGCACTTCACACTTCACACTGATGGACTGAGAATAGAAGTGGAGATGAGCAAGAGATTCACAAGACTCCACTCCACTAGACTTTTTTGTCCTCTGCTACTCTTTCTGCTCTGACAAATTCAATATTTTTAATGGATCCTGATAATTAAAACTACCCTGGCTTTTAATGTGACTGTTATAGCAGAAGACAGAAATATCACTCCCAAATTCCATGCTACCACAGTATGTTCTCTTGGATCGCTATCTGGAGCTGATAATTTGCAAGGCAAAAGATGCTTTGTGTGTTTTCCCCATGAAAACAAAATCAAGTGGCGTCCTAACTTAATGTATTCATTGTGGGCAGACATCCTACTAACCTTTCAAAGAATTTTAAGTATAGTGAAAAAATGTATAGTAGTAATAATTTCAAATTTATTATTCTCAAAAATGCAGTTACCTTTAAAACACGTACTCATTTATATAACTGCATGCCTTTTTCATAATCTACAGTGCAGGCAAAATTCCCATATTCTTTCTTCACTTTTTTTTTTTTTTTTATAGCCCTTTAAACAATAACAACCACACTTTAAAACATATTCTTAAAATCTTTATCTTTAAATCTTTTTTTCTATTCTGTAGTGTTTTCCAGGGTGCCTGACAATACAAATTCGTACCATTTTGTGTATTTTCATTGTGATCTTAATATACTCTGTGGCTCAAGGATGTGTGGTGAGTATTTAAATGAAATATTGCATAGTTTAGCATTCTGTTTAAGAATAACTAATTACAGATACCATTAAATGCATACCACGTTCTGTTCTGTGAATGCCTACTCTTATTATTTTTTATGCTTGCAGAGGACATTTATTTGAATTTAAAGTTCTTTGCTGTAATCTAAAATTTCACTGCCATGAATCAGGGTGTTGAGTGGTAAAGCTGTTAGCAAAATGTGCAGATAATACCTAGTCTGTACCTAGTCTGTACCTAACGTTTATATCAGACTTCAGCGTTACATAGTATGCAGATATTATGTTCTTCATGGGAAAACTACTTTTAAATACTCAGCTTGCTTACTAGTTTAATGGCTAATATTTTGTGACAGATAGTGCATGGTGTCAAGCAACATTACTTATTTCTTCATGGCAAATTGCAGAACATATTTCTGTGTAATAACAGCACATTTTTAGTCCAGACGGATCAGAAATGATCATGTCTTAAATTCAAGACAATATTGTGTAATGAGATGTTTACCCTGTGCTAATTAGAAGATCCTTTAGCATCTAATACCTAGAAAGCTTCTCTTGTATGACGTGAATTTGCTCAGTACTTCTGAAAAGTGAGCTTCTTTTACTGTAGATGATCAACTAGGTCTCTACATGGTGGAGTTTCATGTCAAAATGGGAGTTGAACTTGCACCTAAATATTTAGCATTTAGTTGGCTTGTAGGATTCCCAACACTCAGTTTCAGTGTTTTGGTTGCTAATGCTAATGAGTGAAACATGTTAAGGTACCCAGAGGAACGAATCCACACAAAAATAGCATGTTAAACACGAATGGAGGTGCTGAGGAGGCAGATGTCTTCATCATGTCTTTTTACGGGAGGCAGGCAGTGCATTCTGAGCGATAGAAAGGTGCTCTTTTCCTGAGGGGTTCACAGTGCTAGTTGAAGCGCCAAGCCCTTTATTTTATATTTTGTGTATTCACTGGTCCTTGAAGGTATCTTGCCAAGCTGATCTCTAGGACCTGGGATCACTGGCAGTGATCTGCCTGTGGATCTCTTGCCTGTGAATTCCAATGGCCTGAGTGAGGAACCAGGAATTACTGATGTTCAGATATTTCTGGGAGGGAATTTCTGAAGACAACTGAGTGAGAAACACACATCCCTAAGCACATAGACATGCATGTGATTGCTAGCATGCCAAGTGCATAGAGATATGCAGTACCTCCAACCGGTCTGAGCAAGGGTTCTGTATATCCAACTTTGCCGTTTAGTCGAATATTATGGTAGCCAAGACTTTTTGTGGCTCAGCCCCAATACACCTTCTGCTTACTTTGACTAAGTGAAGCAAGTACCACTATCTCCACCTGAAGACAGTGAAAATGAAATACAGACATTGTAAGGCCTAAGGCAACGTTGCACATCAGTAGAAGAACACAGACTAGAAATTAGAAGTTCTGACCTCCAGCAGACCTGTGGTCATTCAGTTTTACCTTAGAATACCTCATAAACGTAATTTACCCTTTAGTGAAGCAAAAATAGCCTGTAGCCACTGAAATGCTTAGGGGAAATGTGTAATCAGTAAAAATTATTAGTTTCCGCAAAATAATGCCTCTAGAATTCTCAGCTATGAGAGTTGCTAGGCGTTGAGATTTCACTTGTCTTGTTACACAGCAGATGGTGTTTTCCTGGATGGATTGCACATCGTTTACAAAGCCCTCGTGCATGCCTATGTTTTCAGATGTCTTTAGTATGAACAGCATTTTTAAGAACACTGAACCAAATGACATTAAATGGATTTTTCGCTTCACTCTTTCTGATCTCATTTCGTATTATTAGCTGTTATGAATTTAACTCATATTATATCTATTACGTCTCATCTTTTTAAAAGACTGCACCTCCCTGTAAAGCATACTGCTTAATCATCCTTCAGGCTATCAGTTATTTCACAGCATGCTATAAAATTTCATCACCAGTGGTTAGGATGAAATAAAAAAGGTCTCGTAACACACTTCTGAAGAGATGCTTCATTACAGGTGGGGCTTATGTGGAGGTACCTGTTAAAATCAGTTTCATACTGCCATTCCGCTCTCCCCCTTTATGTTAACTCTTATCCTCTCCTTTGATAAAGGGCTGAACATTGGAGTGCAATTAAAACTGGAGCTCCAGGGACTTGCACTGTTTGCCATGGATTCCTCCCTTCCTTGCCTAACGGATCTGGGATGTGTATCTGATATTGCCTTTGGAAGAATAAGATCAAATTTCCCAGAGGAAATGCACCAATTTTTTTTTCCAGCCTAGGGAGGAGGTGGCGCTCCTTGGATATTTGAAATGGGATGGATAATTAAAGATGAAGCTTTGTATTAGAATCATGTGTCATAGGAGAAGCAGCTCTCAGGTGTAGAAAAGGCATTATTCATGCTTAGCTTGTCCATCAAAGATTAAAATATGTTTTTAGATTTGATTCATTGACATTGGAATTACTTGTTCAGTCTATAAAACAAACACAATTATTTCTGTCATTTATGCAAGAACTTTTCTCACCCAAATAGCCACAATGTTTACTGAAGTGTTTTACTTTAGGAGAAAGATGTTGGCTTTAGAACTTCTTGTTTTTGAGCACTGAAAGGGAAACTATTTGACTAAGCCCAGACTTTAATTGCTTGGCCTTGCTGGCATCTAATGAACAAAGAGTGTGTCTCCCACCTAAAACTGAGTACACTGTTCCAGGAAAAGGAGGGAGATTCTGTTAAAGCAGAGAGCTGGCTATCTGAGAACTCCACAGCCATGTTTTCCCAGTTAGAAATGAACTACAGTCAGCCTCCATGGCAACTGCCTTTCTGAGTATTTCATAGTTAACTTTCTCCCTTTCTCTCCTCCACTGTCCTTTCTAGGTTGGCTGCATGCCTTGGGTTTGGAATACGAATTCCAGCAGTTCCATAGTTATCATTTCTCCTGGCGGAACAAACAAAACGATGAACGAACTTCCATGTGACACGGCCCACTATGCTTTCCTTTCCTGCGTAGTGGGGACTCTCACCTTGGCAATATTTCTGCGAGTATCTTCCTTGCCAAAAATGATCCTCCTGCTTTTTGTTACAATTTTGTACATAGTTATTCTGGAACTCAGTGGTTACAGAAAAGCAGTGGGGTAAGTGTCTTGCAAAGCTAAAGCGATGAATGTTTCTGTATAGACAGTCACAAGATTGGCTGTTCATCTGTGACCTGTTCTCTAGCAATCTGTGCCTGCGTTAGGGCTATATATTTGTTAGTGCCTGAGAAATACTTGACCCTTCATCTCTCAGCAATTGTAGGATCTAGCAATACTCATCAACAGGGGATCAGTTCTTGGGAATGAGCAACTGCCCTCCCTGTTATTCTGTAATTTTCTCCTAGCATAACTCAGCTGATCACACTGCAGTCTGCTTCTAGTATGAAATGGAAAAAAAACTGTTATAACCTTCACTTCCATATTTTACAAGCCCTCAGCCACTTCCAATTTCATTTAAGCTTTTGAGGTTTTGAATTTTTTATATCCCTAATTAAAAGTATGCGCACACATTACAAAAATGCATATTAGGACAAGTTCCTCGAGAAGCTGAATGTCGATAGGATGCAGTGATCAGATTTACTGTCACCTATGTCCCTGTCTGTATGAGCCTGTTCAGAAAAGGCTAGCAATTAGGGGGTCCCTGCTTGTTTCAAACTAAAGATTTGATATTAAAAATATCCAATATTTGGTATTTAAAAACCTGCAATAACCTGTTTGCTTTCCTTTTATCTTAAAGGGGTGGCTCCTTTTATATGCGTGGCTATGAACCAATACTAGCCATTTTGCTGTTTTCTTGTGCTTTGGCACTGCATTCCAGGCAGGTGGACTTGAAGTTACGTCTGGACTACCTCTGGGCTGTGCAGGCAAGTCTCAGGACTTTTCTTTCCAGTACTCCCGTCCACAAAATGCTATCTGATTTTTTTTTTTTTTGAAACCGTTTCCAGGATAAGTTGCTTGGACAAAAACACTTTCAAGACCTTTCATATTTGTTGAGGTTTACAGTGGGAAACTTATTGCAGCTTTCCTTCCATAGACCTATAAAAGGCATTTGCTTTGGAGAAGTGATTTTGTTTGTTTGTTTGTAGTTGTTCCATAACAGTACATCGTTAATGAGGTAATACGTTTATATCTAAAGTACATTATGAATAAAAAGAATTTCAAACATGGGAATTTGACTATTAGCGACAGAAACTTGAGAAAGACAAATTAATTCTATTTTTGTTTATTTTGTCTTATGATGCAAAAATGGGTAGAAAGAAGTTGATGTTCAGTTAAACTGAAGACTAGCAAACAAAATTGATAAAAAGAGATACTTATATACCCATTATGGAATAAGACTATGGAACTTTTTCCCAAAGGAAGATCAGAAACTTATTTAGACACCAAGAATGTGGATCATTTTGAAGAAAAAATATTTTTCTTGATTAGCATAGGTACAGCAAAAATTATGAAAACTATAGTAAGGGTAAGCAGGGGCTTCAGAAAATGTCTGGCTACCTTCCCCTAACCGGCTGTCACCAGAGTGTTTGACACTGGCCACTGTGGAAAGCAAAGTTGGAGAAAAAGGAAGTTTATTTTAATGGAATTTGGAAGTTGCCTATAGGATAAATCTTACATTCTTGTGTTTTCTAGAGGTCACCTCCTGTTCTCACCTACCCCGTTAACTGTGTTGTTAAGAGGACTGTCTGGAGGACAGAGGACTCTGGATTTACAGAGGGCTGTATAAATCACCACAGTGCTTGCTTTTACATGTGAGAACAAGACTGTAACACATGGGTTAAATACGTCCCTGACTTTTCTATCTTGCTTAGGATGGAGAAATCAGGAGATTTCAGCTCTATAATCTTTTACTCTCAAAGCTTTTCTACTTAACAGTTAAGTTCTGTTGGGCTATTTTGTTTGCTTTGATGCCCAGGACCATGTCCACCTCCTTTATGATTTAAGTTTATCTTGTTCTATAATTACGGTGGACTCTGTGCTGTTTAACTTAGTCAACAACGCATGACCACTTCATTTCATTTTTGTCCTATGACCCACAGTATTGATAGGTGCTGTGCATGACAGCCTCAGAAGTTTGTTGGACCAACTGATAATAGTCTTTGCTTGTTGTGGTGCCAAATATTGTTTTCAGGAGGAAAATAATATCCCCTGACTTTGCAACTCAGTGCAGCACATGACTAGAATTACTGGAGAGCAGCTGCCTTTATGTAGGCTGGCATATGGTGGAGGTTTGAGAGCACCAGCTGATTGACGACTCTGAGCCCTAGGTATGCAAATATGTATTTCTAGCCAAGAAGTACAGTAACAAGTGGGAAGATACTGCTTTGCTATCCTATTGCTTGTCCATAAGTCAATAGTGATTTAAATGCTGTTCGTCATTGCAGCTACCATGATTTGCATGGTGAATTGCGCATCCCTAAGGACCATGCTGCGTAAAGATCCTTAGTTTTAAATTATAAATTAATAAGTTATGAAAATTCAAGTGCAGGAAACTAATGGGAGGCTTGCCTCCTGAAAGAGCAGAACTGGATAATAGTGAAGCAAGACATAGGAACTTTCTCCGTTTTCTTGGAGCCAGGTTATACAGAAATGCCTAGTAATCTACCACAATCTTTAAAACCATTATGCACTTACTCCGAAGGATAATAAAGGGAGTTAAGACATACGGATACCTATCAAATTTCAGTAATGTCCATCAGCATCTTCAGGTACCTAGAAAACTTCAATTCAAAAAGGGCTTTTCGTCCTTGAAGATAGAATGCAGTTTTCAGATCTCCTCAATTACAAAACGGGTACTTAAGTGATACCATCCTGTCTGTGAGATTTGCATGATAAAATCAGAAAGAAAAAAATTAGTGTAGGTAGGAAATTCAGAATTAGGGATCATCATAACTGCCACTCTTTGAAATCAGTGCCCTGGGTGTTTGCTCGGCCTATTTACCAATCTAGGCACCACTCCTTTGTTCTCCTTGATTCTCCATGGAAGATCTACTCTATGCACGATAAATAATGGTGGATACTGTATTGTAAAGTTTGTTGAACTGTTTTCCACTCTGTGTACCAGGTGGACATGATACTGAATACTAGGGCTAGTAAATGCATTATAGTGGTAGTTATAAAATTGCTTATGGTGCTTAGCTGTTCAAATGAATAAGTAAAAAACATGATCTTTGTTCAAATTAAGTTCTTTGGCATAATAACCTGAGTATTAAAAGCTCTGTGTAGACTGTTAGTAGGAAGTATCTATATTTTCAGACTGCCTCTGAATAATTGTCTGGTTCCAAGCTACTAACGGTTTAATAATCTTTAAGAGGAGATAAGGAAGAAAGAACCATACTGAGAGACAATTTTCTCTGGTTGCTGGATTCCAGGATACCTATATGGAGTTTCCAGAATCTCTGCGTACGGTTTAACAATATCCCTTGTTGTTTTTTTCTGTGGCTGCAGTATTACTTTTCTCTGAAGTATGTGGGCTTTACTGGGTTACATTTTTCAAAGTAGAAGTTTTAGCAACACCATTTCCTAGTCCACAGGGACCGTGGAGAATTTCTTCCATTTTTACAGAGTGAGTTTGCTGGTTCTTTGTGCAAACACTGAATTCCACAAGCTACTGATAGAGCTGAAGACTCCCATCTCCCAGCTGATGCTATAAGAAAAGATTTATGAGAGGCTACCGTGGATTTTAGGAAGTTTCTCTGATGTTGGCTTTCAGCTGGAAGAACTTCAGCCTCAAGGGCTGTTCTGGAAATGGGAAGCACTTTGTTCGCTTAGCTTTAGTAAGGTTCATTGTGGGGCTAATCCTGTAAAATGTTCTCAGATGAACAAATCCGTATGTGGCATAAGCTGCAATATAAAGGATTTTGGAGATTTTTTTTATTTTTTTTTTACTTCATCCTGAACAACAAACAGTTTAGTACTAACTAAATGATATTTTAAACATCAAAACTATCCTGAAAGTAATGCCATTAGGATAAGAATATATAGATAGATTATCTGTGCTCAGCAAACAGGAGCTAAGGTCTGAGGAAAACCCATTTCCACAAACTTTATCTTAGCCCACATAGCTGCAGTTGCAGCATCAGGAAAAAAATATTTTGAGAAAAAGCAGATTTAAGAAAAGCAAAACTTAGTTTAAAATGATGCTTTTCAAGCAAAAGTTAATGTAATGCACTTGCATCTAGGTCACATAACCAGAACGGGGATAATACAGTGTGATTTATGCACATCATTTGAAGAATACATTTTGTGACTGATGACAAGTTGTTAAAACATTTATGTGTGTTCTTACTATTCACGTATCATGGGTCATATAGGTTCTTGTTGTTTCTGTTACTTCTATTCTGTGCTAAGTTTAACTGTTCCAAATATCACAGTATTTTCTTTTTGTAAAAAAACTGCTTTTTTAACAGGCAATGGGACAGGAATACAAGTTTCTACGCAAAATGGTTGAGTAACTTTACATACTTCATTGTGAATAGCAAATAGAGGAGCATTTTCCTTATTTGTGACTGATAACGTTGCTTAGACAATTTATTCAACAAAATTAGAAAAAATTGACAAATAAATACAAGTAACAGGTTTGTGAAGAAGGTAAAACCACCAAAAAATGGAGTTGCTTATCCAAGATTTGTCAGGGGAGGAAGATAAGAATAATTATATGCCATGAGTGATTGTTATATTCTTTAGGGAATAGTAGAATATCGTTCAGCTGTCTTTTCTAATCCATGACAGCTGTACGAAATATTTGTTCTGCAATCTGCAGGCCATAATTTCAAGGCTTGCTCACGCTCCGTGTTTAAGATGTGGCCAGATCATGAGTCTCTTTCCTGTGGATTTAGTGCCCCCTTCAGGTAAAGTGATGTTTCTGAGGCACTGGTGCCCAGTTTCTTTTTAGCTGTGTCTTGGGTTTTGATGAGGTAACTCTTTAGTCAGTGACATTGCTACAGCGTTTTTATGCCTATTTAATAATCACCTGATATCTCAGGTGATAGACTAGTTATGTTCACTTCTTGAATATAGAACGTGTAACGAGTTCTCGGCATTGTCAAATAGTGGTTTGTTATGTGACTGTATAAAACGTGGTAGGCGCTTATCACATTAATGCTGTAGTACCAAGGAACACGTTAAATTTTATAACCAAACCTGAAGCAAAAACCAAGCCTGCTTTTAGATACTGCAGTTCTTCAAATACAGTAAGCTCTGTATAATGACTTAGCTGCCATGAATGCCAAACAGGCAAAAGCAGAACATTAAAAATGATGTCTCTCATTCCTTTGGAGTTTCCTTCTTGTGCATTTTCACAGTATTCTGCCTTGTTTTTTTAGCTAGCAGCTATTGCATAAATATCATGCTGGCAGCTTTCTTGAATTAACCAATAGAAATAGGGACAAATAGAGGAAGATTTGGATGCTATTTAGCTGTCTGGCTAATATTTCCACCAGGAATGTAAATATATGTGATCTCTGTTACTCTAATCTTTTTTTCTGCAGCCCCACATACTCCTTCTTCCTTCTCAGTGTCTGTCTTGCCTGGGAAGGGGTGATGCCTACACATTCCCTTATCTCAGCGCCTCAAAGAGTAGGCACTAGGAGTTCATGAGTCACAAGAAGGGAAGACAGTTTTCATTTGCATTCCCCTGAAGGGTGGAAAGCAGAAAGCCAGAAAAAAAGACCAGAATATATAAGTAAGCAGCTTACTTTCTTCTCCATAGGGCCTGGAGATAGGGAATTTTAGAGTCCTCACTGCTGAACGAAATCAAATATTTTTGTACCTCCCCTTCACTTCTTAGCTTCCCTTGCAGCGGACATGGGGGAATCATTCCTCTTTTCCCAGGCAACTCCTGAGGAGGTGCATGTGAGATCCATCTTAGGCAGTGCAGGAAGAGAAGATATTCAAATTCTGTGCAGTATTAGAGAAAAGGTACTCTTCAGTTCGCTTTCCTGGCAGGCCTTTTTATTAAACTTGGAATTATCCACACTAACTTCAGAAATTTGGCACATCTACGTGGCATAAGTAAATTCATGCAGAGACTCTAGTCTAGGTACCAGCAGCAATATAGCAGTATTAACCCTGTTTGCTACCGTTCAAGAGCCTTCCATTATCTTAAGGGGCTTCATATCCTTTCTGGCAATTGAAACTTCTCAGAGTCAAAATTTTACTTAACATTTTGGCATCCAAAAAGCGGAAGAGAGGCTTGCTAGGTGTACTGCAAATGTAGCGTTCTACCACGTTTCATAGCAATGGTGACATTCATGATGCCCTTCCCTGCTCTTAGAGGATTTCCTCTTTTTAATCAACAACCTTTCAGTCATGTCTTGGTGGCTCGGTTTGAGCCATTAGCTCTTCACCCAAGAGCTCAGTCTCAGCTTCTCAGACGTGGCTGTGGTCCCATCTTTAGGAGCATTGTCACATCCATACCTGAGCACGCATAGTGGTATCGTTGGCATCTCGCTCACAGTAGTTTCATGATTATGTTGAAGAGAAGCGCGGCAGAGACGAGAAGAAAAGCCATCAATGTTTTCTAAATTTATGCCAGAAGGAAATGCCTGGAAAGCCAGTAGGCTGGACTGTCCTTTCTCCCCTATTTTCTGTAGGTGTATTAGAAAGATTTCTTATTTTCTTGTGGCTGGACAGAAGTCCAGCACCAAGAGCAAGGTCACAGGGAGATAACGTTTCAGTGCTGGCAGCTTTGTCCTTGTGCTGTGGCTTTTTCTGAACCCTTTATTGTGAATCACCCACAATGTTAGGAAATGCCACACATTACTGAAGAACTTTCTCAGTCATTTCATCCAAATGAAAAGTCTTGGTCCATGACTGGGCAAGGCAGAAGAATCCGATCGCACGCTTCTAGCTCAGAAGTGGACACTAAATACCAGCAATTGAGTAATTTTGCTGTCCATGCTCCGTCAAACTGGTTACTCCACTTACAAGCCCTTGCTGGACTACTCTGACTTGTTATCTTTATGTCCTACCCCGAAGCTGAAGCTGTATTGTTCCCTAGGCTCCTGTTCTGCCTCGTATTGTATTGGGAGCTGCAGATCAGTATCCCTCAAACGTCCCTAGGACAAAGATAACAAAAGAGATCTTATTTAAAAAATAGAGGAATACACAGGCATATGCCAAACCCAAACTGGAATTTGATTCAGAGCCTGAATTCAAGAATTCACAAATCTCATTGCTGTAGTCAGAATCAAACTCCCCATTTCCAGTATGTTGCAAAAACTGAATTGTAAATTTGGTTTGGATTTTCAGTCGGAAAAAGCTTTTCAGTTTTACTATTAAAACATTTAAATTCCAACAATAAGATTACACAATGCAGGGGGCCATTGCACACATTTACAGACAACAATAAATCAGAGGCAGGTTTTATACCTCCAAAATAGAGGAAAAGAAGGATTTTAAGGAAATAGCATACAGAATTTAAGCAGCAAAAAAAGTGTCAAGAAAACACCTCACAGGCAGGAAACAGATACTTACTTAGAATACAGATTGCAGGCATATTCCTTGCAGGGCTTAACTGCTATTTAATGGTTACTGATATTTCATCTCTGGAATAAATTATAATTCTTATTATGCAAATTAGAGGAGAAGCTGATAATTTATTTTAAAAGGGCGTGTTTCCTGAAGAAATTACATTTATAAAACCAGTTTTATTTCAGCATTTTTTTCATGTAAAGAATTTTAAGAATGTAAAAGAAAACTGTCAGGCAAAGTGGCATCACTGTGTCATGTGAATAAAAAGGATTGTCCCAAATTTTTATCATGAAAAACAAAAATTACTGTCTTGTCCTCAGAGTTTTAAACTCTTAGAAAAACTAAAAAAAGTTTTTCACATGAAAAGAGAATACACAGGCGTGAGATGACTGGCTTTCTCCTACTTAGACAGGAATGGATAGTGAGAAAAGTATGTGGACTTTGCAATAGATCAGGATAGCAAATTCTAGATAGAAAGGGACACAAACAAAGATTAGAATAGACCCTTAAGTGGTTTATGAGTCTTAGTTTCACTGATACCACCTGAGAATTTGGCCTTCCAGTCTTCTGCTGACTGTAACTAAATAAACAAAATTATATTGGGATTACTGCAGAAGATTTGTGTTACAATTCCGTGAGTGTGATTGAAGAGCAAAGAACAAAACTATCTTTGCTGTGATTTCCATGAGATGAATTGTACAGTACTAATCGAGCGTTTTCTAGATGAAAATGAGAATTTGGGGCCCAAAGTCACTCTGATAACAAGGAGTAGATCCTAGAAAAATAGTTTTGCAGTAGAGTTTACGAAGGACGAGTCTGGAATTTGCAAACCTAGGTGCCCCAAATGCAGTCTCTAGATTTTTATTTTTTTTTATTATTAAGGTATCTAATTTTCAAAATTACTCCCTAATCTCTAGCTCCCAATGACTCCTGTGAATCAGGTAACCTAAATGTGACACCAGGACCTTGGGTTAAGTACCCCAAATTTGTTCACTCCCAGATGCTCTTCCTGAATATTATCATTCACGAGAATGGCAGAACCCCTGTTGCTTTTGCCTATAGGAATTTCTGTGCACAGGAATTGTACGTGCGTCCGTAACAAGTACCAGGGGTAATTAAAGTCACCTCTAAAAATGCATACTATTTCTATCAAAATCACTTTAAAAATTGCATATCTTTCTTAAGGATGCTCAACTGTAAAAACAGTACTCTCTGTTGAAGCTACTGTCTCATCGAATCCATTTCACTGAAAAATGATACGGGTTTGCTTAAAACACTGGTGATTCTCCAGGCTTCTTTTTTTGAAAGGTGGATCAAATTCTGCTGTTATTGGTTCGATCCTTACTGAGAAAAAATAATGGGCCTCCAAGGCCAATGTGACTTAGGTGAGAATATTCCAGCTTTTTAGTCTATAAAAATATCAGGTGGGGCCTATTTAAAAGAACGGAGGTCCATGGGAGATGCCAGTACACTTAGCTGATCAAGCCCTACAAATAGTGATTTCCTAGTGACTCCAGCTTGAATTAATAAGGCCTTTAAGGGATTTTGTCGCGGAGGTAAAGACATGGTGTAGGAGAATTGTTCCCCCTCTGCTTCAGAGGTATTATTTTCCCAGTTTAATTTCAAAGCATGGAGTAATAGAAGCTATTTGATGGCTTCAGATAACTTTTTCCTTTTTGGAAAGATTTTTCTTTTTCCTTTGTCCCAACAGGCAGAAGAAGAGAGAGATGATATGGAGAGAGTCAAGCTGGACAATAAAAGAATTCTCTTCAACCTGTTGCCAGCACATGTTGCACAGCACTTTCTTATGTCTAATCCAAGGAATATGGTAAGCCAAGATAAAATTTAAATACATGAGAATGTTGTATGGGCGTGGCCCTGTGTAGCTTAGGTCACCTTTCAACTGTGTTTTCAAGAAAACGTTGGAATTTTTAAAGTATCATTCATGTTAAAATGAGTAGGTTTGTAAAAACTTGTGTTCAGAAATTAGATCAGGGTTATCTCTTTCTCTGTAGAGTCCTCCTCCTTCTGTGAAGGATTTTAATAAGTTATTGTTTAAGTGAATGTTGTGTCATTCAACATCAATTCAGCCGAGTGCCTACCTGCAAGTGAGCAACTTCCTTTTCAATCAAATCAAAAGACTTGAGCTTCTTACAGTATTTCACAGAGTTCAGTTTTGCTCTGGATGATGAAGTGTGTGAATTGCCAGGCGCTTCCATCGGAACAGCTCTAGTTCTGAAAATATGATTCCATTACAAAAAGATGTAGTAGCTTTAATCTCTAAGGCTGCGGTGACTCGTTCAGGACAGTGTCATCAGGGTCCTTCTAAGAGAGGCTGCAGTATATGGCGAGGCCATGATGGCCATGACGCTGCTTTTTCAAGTGATAGGTCTCTGTGCTTGAGAGTTTGGCCAAGTGTATTTGAACCATAGAAAAGTGGTTTTACTTTCTGTGAGCTCTCCAAATTCTTACTCAGAAGCCTTATAATGCAGAATATGTGGTTAATGCCAAATCCAGGACTCTGCAACTCAGAGGAGAAAGAGGTAAAGGAGCGAGGCTGATTTTGTACCACAGGGAGAAGAAGAAGAAGAAGAAGAAGAAGAAGAAGAAGAAAAAAAAAAAACTGTTCTGCCTTCTATTTTAGTTTTAAAACAAAACTGGGAAAACCTAATGAAATGTCTCATACAGTAAAAAAGTTCTAAAACTGTTCAGACTTTCTATTTCCTGCTACATTTTCATTCAGTATTTCCTTGCCTAAGCAGTGAGAAACACTAAGTTGACTAAAATGGATTTGATAACTTAACCATTAATTTTCAACTGTGTTTTTCAAGGGAGGGAGCCTGCAACTCCTGTTGTTTGCTTTCTCTCTAGCAAAAGTGATGGCTTTTGTCCTAGCTAGCAAAACAACCTCTCTCATTGCTTAGCACTAGAATAGATATGGTGATAATCTTGTCTATTTTAGATTAATCTTTTTAAATAAAAATTATATCTGTTCGTGAACTGCAGGACCTTTATTACCAGTCATATTCACAAGTGGGAGTGATGTTTGCTTCCATCCCAAATTTCAATGATTTCTACATCGAACTGGATGGCAATAATATGGGAGTGGAGTGTTTACGCCTGTTAAATGAGATTATTGCTGATTTTGATGAGGTAAGGTCTAAATGCATTGTCTTTTGACCGTAGGAGTTCTACCAGACTCTGTAAAGAAGGATTATTTATAGAAATTCGGGTTACTTTGCACTTCCTAATAAAATACTTCTGTGAACTTCCTAATTAATGGGAGTGGGTGTCCAGTGGGCCTCCCTAAGAGTTTGTTTTGTACTTTTAGGCACTTAAATCGGCCCTCAAATTTCTCTAATATGTGTAGTCTATGTGTAGAGTCTTTAAAATGCAAATTACTCATAATTTCCCCAATGACATCAAAGTGAGAAAGCCTCAACTTACCAGAAAAAAGTATGGTTTAATCAACTGTGCACATATTATCTGATAACTATGGTTGTTTGTCTAAAATATTATGTAATATTTAACAGTTTTATGTTTTAAACAAAGCTTATGGACAAAGAATATTATAAGGACATAGAAAAGATCAAGACAATTGGAAGTACGTATATGGCAGCTGTGGGACTTGTACCTACTTCGGGAACTAAGGTAAGTAGACCTTACACAACTGTCATTTGTGGTGGACAAACGGTGCTCCTCCAATTTCCGGCGGAACATGTGAAATACATCCAGTTCCATATGATTATGTACATTTGTTTTAATTCGTTGCAACAGCTTAAATATGAAATTCAAATAGCAGTAGCCTGCAAATAAAAGTTGCTCTCCTGGCAGCTGTTCATCGGGCTGAATTTGGGATTTGATTTGTCTGTAGCTCTGGATTCTCAGCAAATTGTTTTAAAAAGCTCCTAAGTCAGAATGTTCGTATTTTAAACCTGGCATCAGAGATGACCTTGTAAGATGCCGGGCAAGGGAGAATCCAGATGTAATGTATTGCTGCTAAACGAACACAAAAATATTAACATGTGGTGGGGTTTTTTTTGTTTTTTTTTTTTTTAAACATTGCAATCTGGGAGCGTTCTGTAGTCAAAGCAAACGGCCTCCTACACTCCCATCACAGACCGACCCCCGTCACAGACGGGAATTTAGTGCTAGATACATTACTGCATTTTATCCCAGCCCCTCCAAATTAGCTCTTCTTTGTCTCCACTGCTCCATTCTCTTTATTCCTTTAATGACTCAGCAACAACAAAGTCAGAGTAATTTCAGAGCTGCTAGGTCTGGGGCACAGTTCCCCATCTGTCTCCTCATTACTGCTCCTGTGCATGTTTCCCACCTTAAGTTCGGGTCTGGGGATCTCCTAAATTTGCATGCAGCATCTTGAATGGCAGTGAACCCTGTGCGCAGTGTACAGAATTGACTGTATACAGAGCATTATATAAATTAATAATGCAAGTAAGCCAGTGAAAATGAGAGCAGTCCACGTCCTCGGTCTGCCCAGAACTGCCAGAGGCTTCTCCCCTGCTCTGAAGTGCAAGCACATATGTTGCAGAGGTATGGCTGATTCGTACAGTTAAGCATTGCAAAATAACACTGAATTAAAGGGCAAAAGCAAAAAAGGGCCGGAAGACAGCCTGTGAACTTCCTAGCAACAATTATCCTTCTTAAGTAAATGAAAAATAAGGACACATCGGAATCAACTGTTAGAATCATGTAGTATATCGCATACAACTAACTTTCTGGTCTGCAGGGTATCTAGAACTGATGCTTTTTTGGTATCATTCTTAGCTTAGAAATCTAGACATTGCAAAAAGTGTTTTTTAAACATTTTATTTATGTGGAAATGTTTGTCTCCTGGGTCCTGAGAGAGGAAAAAGAAAAGATCCTTTTAATTTTGTTCAGTGTGGTGTCAGACAAACAGGCAAAGGCATGCCTGTGTGTCTGCTATAAATGCTCTTTGAACTATAATCTTGAAAACAAGTGTGTTATTGGGTAACTTTGGCAGCATATGTTCCAAAACCTAAACATGTTTATCTCATGCGTTTTATAGTTGCTAACTGAAGGGTCAGCTGAGTTAGTCCAGTCCTGAAGATACCACTCTAAGCTTATGACGGTAATGCATTTTAAATCACTGCAGAAGGTCTCTGCACAGGACTCTGCCTTTCTCTGAATTTTAAGGGGCCAATTTTGATCTTTTCTGTATAGGTAGAATTTATTTAATGTTCCATATTCCAGAAAAGCTAAAGCTCTGGTATAATAACAGCTAATATTTTTGACTACAACTTAGATTTTCATCTCTTCTGTGCTCTCTTCTTACTGCTTGTGTGACACAAACAAGTAGAAGTTATCCACCTCGTGTGGGCAGTTTCCTGCTAAGTCTTCCGCATACAGCAGGGTATTAGAAATATGGTAATCCAGGGTAGCTCGACAGAGTAGGTGCGCTTAGCTGTGTTCTTAACCGAGAATACTTGTGCACATAACAACCAGGTGACTGTAATAAATTTATATTGCCTCTGTCAGAATGGTTTTGCTGCGATGCTCTGGGCAGTCTTTCCAATAACTATTCCTCTGAAATATTAAATAAATAACTGCTTGCCAGTTACACCGCCACAGCAGCACACAAACCAAGCTCCTTGTAGACCTATAGCTTCTTTCTGAACGTGGAGCCCTTTGAAATTATGTCTGTGTTTTGAGCAAGGGTCCCAACTTTGCGGGGTTCTTCAGCGGGGTTTCAAAAGAATTTGGTGGTGATCCTTTTGAGAGATGTCCGTTGCTTGACGTTCATCCCATATTTGTCACCAATCCTCTCTCCTGCCAGCATGTAGGGTATTGCAGGCAACCAAAGTTTGCATGAGGCAGCAAAGAGGTTAAAGGAAAAGGAATATAAAGAACAGTAGAGGATTAAAGAAAACTGTAGAATCCTCCCTCTTCCTCCTCCGGATCTTTCAGTATTCTTCACCATCTCTGTTGCAAGTGTGGCCGTCAGCGCTTCTCACTTTAAATTTAACTCCTGTTCTTCCTTTGTCTTGGTTGGGCTGGAAAAGAGTGGAGTTAGCTGACATTATAAGATACGGGATGCCAGAGAGCCAGGCAGGTATTTAAAAATGTCCTTCCTAAAACCTGGGAGTGGCCCAAGGCTGGCTTTCATCATTTTTTGTTAAAGCTTTGCTCTAATTTTTAAAAATTTCCCAGCCACTTGAAGGATCCCTTTCTAGCTGAGCCAAATAAAGCAAATAGCAACTTGTTTCTCAGGTTCCTCAGTGACTCTCGGCTACTCCAGTTATAAAATCTCACCATCATGACAACAACCCAGAGAGCTCTCATCTCATGCCAGCTGCCACAGCCCTGTTGTGCAACATCCTACTGAAGCTATGCTGCCACTGACCTGGCATTGCTTTCACCATCTCCTACCTTTAGCCCACTTTCACTTTGCAAAGCTGTTCAAGAATTCATATTTATTATTCGAGTAAGAGCATAACAGAAGAGCACCCATACTGCGTCAGGTCAAAGGTCTGTCCTAGTAACGTGTCTTTACTAGCCAGCAGTAGCTCCTGAGGGAAGGACATAAGTAACAGGACACATGCAAATCTTTATTTTCCACCTTCTAACAATGTGCAGCTTAAGAAGTTCCAGAGGTGAAGGTAGTATCTTTTTAATACCTTATAACAGATATTACTTCCACAAATATAGTCTAATTATTTCTGAATCTAGCTAAACTGGGATCCATAGTAGCCTCTGACACTACTTAGACTATAGCTATAAAAAGTATTTCTTTGTGAACATTTTTTTAAGCTTGATACTTTATCGTTTCATTTGGTTCCTTATGATTCTTTTGCTGTACTTCATTTAGGTATGTTTCATAACAAATCACTTCAGCTCGCCTGGAAAGGAAAGAAAATAGGGGTATTCTGCATCCCATGGGATTAAACATAACAGGAGTTTTGTCAATGGGAACAGCATGCACCCCATGGAGCTAAGACCTAGAAAAAGCCCCAAAGGGAGAAGAGGGCAGAAACTATAGTTATTAATAATCACTAGGCAAAGCATTTTTGTAAGAAAGCAGGTTGTATTCCCTGCCATGTTCACAACAAACATCTGCAGCTCTCTAGCAACAGAAACACTTTACCACGGGAACTTTGCTTTCCATTCTTCCCAGAAATCGAAAAGAGAAAAAAAAATTCAGTACTTGAGAAAAGAATGCATGTGCTCTAGCCACCATCGAAAGTTCCTTTTCACAATCAGCAAAATAGGTTAGATTCCTTTCCTAAGCCATCCCGTCTGAGCCTTTCATTGTTTTTCAGTTCAGTATTTCACCTGATTCTAAACGTCATGCAAATCTAATGTACAACATTATTTTGTATCTAGGCTAAAAAATCAATTTATTCCCATCTGAGTACACTGGCAGATTTTGCAATAGAGATGTTTGACGTTCTTGATGAAATCAACTATCAGTCTTACAACGACTTTGTCCTACGAGTTGGTAAGTCACGTTTCTACAGTTATCCCGCAAGTGGAACAGTGTTGTGTGTTGGCTTTCCCTGTGCCCTCTGCAAAGGATTGCCTATCCTGCACGCTTGAGTAAAACTGAAAAGCCTCCTTTAGTGCAAGATGTACATCCATATAGAAGATAAGCAGGCTTGGATGGTGGGCATCAGTTTTATGGTTTTATACTTGTGTCCAGTTCTAGTGTGTTTATTATATAATCAATGCACACCTCAAAGGAAACTGCACTAATACGTTTTTACAGTATAATTATTAGTGTATGTGGTCTTGTGACCCATATCGCTTTGCGCTGCTAAACTGCTGCAAACTGGGGCTGCTGTACTTAACTATTATGTATTCCTGCATGTGCAAAAGCCATGCTGGCATTAAAGTGTGGTGGTGGGAGTTTTTCATCCACAGATGCCAAATCACCTGTCCTCTTTGTCAGGATATAGTTTGAAAAAAAAATTCTGATAGGAGAAGCTTTTTAGTTTCAGGATGGAATTTTGGGTTGGAGAAAGCAGGAGGAGAGAGAAGAAGACATTTGCTAAGGCATGAAGAATCAGACCCAAGTGTCTGAATCCCTAACATGCTTTAATCCCCAAATTATTGTGCTGTGCTGGCAAAAAGCACTCTCAATGTCTTTTACTAGTATTTCTCCATGTAACTCATGAAACATTAATTGATTGATTGACTGAAAGAGAAGCATGACCAAATCTGTGCCCCATGAGTTGTAACACTTGATCCAGATTCAGTGGATGCTCAAGGCTTATTGGGATATATGGATATTTTCCATATATGGATGCATATTTCATTTCATTCAAATTAAAAAAAAAACAACAACTGACATCTTGAAATTTTTCACTGGACAAGGAAACTTTCCTGTTGAATCCTAGGCTCAGGCATATGGTTTGTAAAGTTCTCCCTTTGATTTTTTTGTTATGCTGCTATTATACATATTCTTTTGCCAGTCTTCCCAATTATTTTGGTGAATGGGTGCTATTCTCTAGCAAATTCAATGCTCTGGCCTTCACAACACAGAATTCCCATGCAATCCTCTATATGTTATTTTATATCTTACCTTTCTGAGTCCTTTCTCCCAGCCTGCATGGAGAGCAATTTCCCCTCCTCGCTGCCATCCGTCCATCCAGCTCCTCTCCAATGGTACATCCGGTGCTGTTACCATTTCACTAACTATTCTAACACAGCTAGTTTTCTTCAGGCTCGCTCTATACATGCTTTCATGGTTTAATTTTTGAGAGCTGGCTGGACAAGGGGAAAAGTGAGGTTGCTAACAGCAGGGTAGTGAGAAAGACCAAAGACATCAAGGGCAGCAATAGAGAGTTATACGTCTTTGCCCTCCCATACATCCCAGTAATTGCAAGTCCAAAATTCTCTCCAGAAATGTGTTCTAACTGGTCTTTCCAAGTTTGCATGTGGGCAGAGACCACAAATATCTTTTCCCCCTTTTCTGTGCAGCTTGCCTGGGAAAGACCTTGCACAGAGCCTCATGGAGTATTTAGCACCTGCAGCTCTTCAAGACACTCAGGAAAAGGAAACCTTTTCAAGCAAAGAGCCAAAATTGGTCAGAATTATAGCAGTGAACATTGTGGTTATTTAGAAAGATGCTTGAGCCATTTTCACATACTCCTCTCTACTTCCGGGGTTTTATTGGCTGACAGTGCAGGATCTGAGCTGTCTGGTACTGATGATCAAATGTGACATGCATCCCTTACCCCATTCCTGGTGTTTCCCAGGCTACTGGCTTCTGTTTAGCTTGGAAAATCCTCCGTTCGAAGGCTTTGTATTGGCAACTGCAGTGGAAGTCATAGGAAGCAATGAAAGATTTTTAAACATTTGTCCTGAACTGGTCCACAGCTAAACTCTGCACTACCACTAGTTTTCTTCTTTTCTTAAAACAGGCAAAAGGGAAAATCCACAGATGGGCAAAATGTTTATGTTGTCTATCATATTGCATTTCCAATAACATCATCTTCATTTTGTTTCTAAAAGCCTTAAAAATCCAGAAGTCCAAATGGCATTAATTTAACATATATTATGTTCTATGACCAGGAAGAATTCTTAGGCACTTCTGTTAAATCTAATGTACGGGATCAATGTTTCCTTCAGATAACACGCTGCAGTTTTTGAAAGAATAACAAAAGCATTATTATTCTGATTTTAGGTATTAATGTTGGACCTGTAGTGGCTGGAGTCATTGGAGCCAGAAGACCGCAATATGATATCTGGGGGAACACTGTAAATGTTGCCAGTCGAATGGATAGTACTGGAGTGCAGGGGAAAATTCAGGTGAGTGCATTCTGCGAGCCCTTTGCAAGCTTTGTGTACCTCGTGGTTCATATTTGGTTACATTTTCAAGACTGCTTAGAAAATTCAGCCTCACTTGATCTTGTGGTTTTTATGAAAAGGGCAACATTCTCCAGATGATTCGGGCATCAGATGTATAGTTATTTCCCGTTATATATGCTTCACTACTTGGAGGCGATGAAATCCTCAGATAAATCATTTCCCATCCAGAGAAACAGAATTCATGTTTAATTCTCTGCTGCATTTTATTCAGTTGGAGGCAAGCCTGAGAATGCCGACACAGCATGGGCCAATTCTTGCGCTGCAGGAATTTTGCCTGAATAAAGACTGCAAGGAAGGGATCTACGTCCATTTGCATCCTGTTGCGTTTTATGTAGTTTTAAAAATCCTTAAGATACTGTGGATCAGAGGGGCTACAGAGGCAGAGGACGTTACCGGTCTACTAGAGCTTGGCTAGACATAATGCTTCACTTCTGAAAATCTCAAGGAACTTTTGGAGTCCTTTATCCGAAATACCTACTTTGTCTCCCAGAATTTCTTCTGGAGTAAGTTAAACTCACTGGAGCTGATCCAGCCTACAACAGTAGAGAATATGGCTACGTATATCTGAAGGACAGAGCTTAGTTTGACTGTATAATTCTTTAGCCCAAGACCAGAAGTTTTGCTTCTCATATTCCAGTTTGGTATACTGATTTCCTTTAGGAAATTCTCGGTGAACTGAAGAACAGCAGTAGCTGCTTACTCGTTCTGCCACATGTGTTTCATGAAGCAGAAGTAAAATGGGGAGAGTTTGGGCAGTTCTAGGATTAACCTTATACAAATAGAAAAAACTAATAGCTCTTTTTTTTTTTTTTCCTGTCTTCAGGTGACAGAAGAAGTTCAGCGGATATTAAAGAGGTGCAGTTATGAATTTATGTGCCGGGGTAAAGTCAGTGTAAAGGGAAAAGGAGAAATGTTGACCTATTTCCTGGAAGGAAAGGCCGATGGAAATAATTCACAAACACGGTCTTTAAACTTAGAGCGAAAAATGTACCCTTATGGGAGAGCAAACATTCAAACGAAACTGGGCACCAGCTGCCCGTCGGTGTCCTCAGTTGCTGGCTTTACTGCAAAAGCTGGGCTTGGAGCAGCCCAAGTGTCTGCTACTCACACAAATCAAACGCTACATTATCTTCCTTCTGTGCCAGCTGTGAAGGAGGCGTAGAGCAAAGGAGGTTTGGTTGTGCCATTTGCAGTGAACCTGGAGAGCAGCGGTTGCCTGAATTTTTACCAAGAGGTCAAGGGTCATAGGCTGTGGCATTAACCAAGGACCACTACAACCCAACCAAAGAGAACTTGGGGACCGTGTAATGAACTCTTGGGATGGAACATATAAGGGCTAGCAATTCTGTTAGGAAAAGTCAAAACCTGATTTTCTGGAAATAAGGAATATTTTCTTGGCATTTTTAAAGGGTAAATGAAAAAAATTGAGACAAACGTGCAAGCAATTCTTTATGTGTGTGTGTATATATATGTTTTAATCTATATATGCACATATACAAAAACTCCTATGTAGACTTGATAGAGATTTATATATATAAATATAAAAAATGTATTTATTTACACATCCACCTGCAATGACATAGCAAAGAGATTTCTCTTCCTGTCATAGCCAGCACTGTTGGGTCTGAGATTAGCAAAGCTGCATTTAACTGGGGAGTGTAGGGCAGCTGAAAGCTCTCCGGGGCTATAGCAAGAATTAGAGAAACTGTGCTCCCAGTGCTTGAATTCAAGCGATCAGAATTTATCAGTGACAGATTAATGAAGTTTGGATTCAGCTAACTGATAAACCCAATGTGTTTTTAAAAATTCTAATTACATAGTCCAAAAACTTTGAAAAATTTCCAATTCAAATCGTGACATGAGGATATGGAATAGATAAATGACAGAGCTTAACATTTTGTGAGGATAGCAATTGCTATTCTTAACAATAAAAAAAAAAAAAGAAAAAAAAAGTTGAGAAAGTTTTAAAAGTTGCTGCTTCTTCACAGGTCATTTGATTCTGTGTGAGACAAAAGTGCCACCCTGCCAGCACAGCAATATGCTTACCCAGTATAAACATTCCTTCCTGCTTTACGTACCATGCCAGTTTTTCTGAAGAGCAGAGGAATATTATTATTTCAGACTTTTACAAACAGCATAGGTCCTGAGGCTCAGTTCCAGCTGTACCTTTTTAAAAGCTCAAAGAGTAGTCCTGCACTGGTGACAAACGTGCTGTTGTTAGGCCTGCGATATTTGTATGCTTGCCAACATAGTCTTTCTTGTTAATTGATTTTTAAATTGATGCCACAGTTTATTATGTCTTGATTCTACCCAGGCTCACTCTTCAAAGCTGTACAATTATAGAAAGTTATAATTCTGAGAAACAAGCACAGTCGAACTTTGCCCAAACGAGGAGCACATTGGTAAACTTGCCAGGAGAGTGAGGGCTGCTCTTAATCTGCATAAAAGGGAACATATTTTGACTGCTTTTCCCTTAATGCAGCCCATATCCTATTGTTCAGGGTTTCATCTTGAAACGCTGATCTGGATGTGAAACATGGAGTGCAGCTCTGTATTTGAGGCGGGAGCAGTCCCAGGTCATCCTGCTGAGGATGGCTGGCGACGTGGTCCATGGACTGCTGCCATAAGGTCCTGATGGGGATATGCAAGCTAACCAGCTTGCTGCTTCCCAAAAGAGAATCAAAACTTTGTCTAAAAAAAGGCAAAACTTCCTTTTAACTTTAAAAAAAAAAAAAAGCTTCAGTTATTCGCAATATACCGTTGAAAACTTGCATGTTCTAGGTGTCACCTTCTCCTGCAATCAGCTTTTTTTCTTTTCTTTTCTTTTCTTTTGTGTTTTTTTTGGAGCAGTCACTGTTTCTGTTTTAAAACTATATGGACACATATTAAGTCAATACATGCAAAGCATTAAAGAAAAGCCACATCAGGCTGCTTGTGGGATTCTGCAGGTTTTCAGCAGGGTTTTTAATTGGCTATCAGCTAGGTGCTTCATTACAGAGACAGCAAAATTAGTGTTGTGATTAGAGCGAGCTGAGGAAACTGAGGACTGATTCCTAGCTGTACTAGGTGTATGCAGCCTGGCTGACCTGCCAAAAGACACTGAATCTCTTTATCTCCCCAGCAGTTATCCAATTCACAAGCATTCTGCTGGAATAATTAAATTCTGCTTTTGAGGCATTCATAGCCATTTAAGTAAATACATTTATAGAACATAAATTTCAAAGAATGAATATTTGCGTAATTAAACTAAATAAATGGTATCCACGTAATGTGCACTGCATATTTTATATTTTCTAATAGCTTTGTAAGAATTAAATCATCCCACAGTAAGTTAAATATTTAACCAACATGGAAAGCATTATGCACAACAACGTTAAGCACCTAACTCCACTCACAAAGAGCCCAGGTTACACAGTCTGTGAAGCAGTGGACTTGATGCAACTTCACTGATGTTAATTAAACTTTATTTTTACATGTACTGTTATCACAAAGAATCTTTGGACCCTAGGTGTAGATCAAGTAGCACATAATCACATAGGGAAAATATAGCCATTGTCCCCCTGTCAAAAGCTTACAATGAGAGTGTTTTTTGTTGCTTTTTGAATGGGTCCAAAACACAGGTATATTGCCATTGTTTCATACATCGCTAAGCTGACAGTGAATTGTTCCCTTTGCTAATGTTTTCAGGACTTTTCTGTAAAGCCAGTTAACAATACAATGGCAGGTGGCAGATGCCTCAAAAACTGCAGCAACACGGATGTGTCAGGACCTACTACTTTGAGTTTTCACGAATGCAACAGCAACTTTACAGGAAGAATTTTTGTGCATTTTGTCCAGGTCTTGATAAACTCCTTCCCATCACAGCAACGCAAGAGCTGGAAACTCATTCCCAGCCTAGTCCTGGAGTAAGGTTAGTGTAGGAGACCATGAAACAAAGTAAAAATGGATCATCCGTTTTAATATTTTAAAAGATTAGCAGGTGCTAGTGGGATCACTTAGAAGTTTTTCTAGGCCTGATCCTCCTCTCCAGCAGTTGAATAAGGCATGTGCCTTCTGTAAGGACGTTTTTTTATGTTGCATGGAAAGGATCAGATAGAGGCTGTCTAGCACCAGCATCTCCTGGGGTCCTTTCGCAGGAGTTTGTTGCTTCTGGGGCAGGCTGTGTGGAGCAGGACGGGTTCTGCAGCTGCAGCCGCTCCAGTTAGCGCAGACTAGCTGGCACCATCAGGGATGGTGGATTTGGACTCAGGCTCCAGACTTTGTTTGCTTGAGTCCTACCCTTAACATTTTCGGATTGTTGTTGATGTTGTTGTTGCTGTTTCGACCATGGGGATGACTGTATTTTTCCTATTTCTTTGTAGCCCAGGACTGAGCAGTGCAGAATCAGAAAAAAAGTTCAGCCAAGACCCAAATGAATAAAAAAACATGTGAAACTAATAGGAAGTGTTTAGCAGCTGTTTCAGCAGGGAAGACTAAACACCCACTGAAATCTTGATATAATAAAGCTGTGCTCTTGCCTTCATGATTTCCCTCCCTATTCTCATCATTTTCCCCCATTTCATTTTTTGTGTACATTTGTTTTATTTCAGCTGTCATATGATGGCTTTAGATGACAAATTTAATCTCCCTTCTCTTTTGCATTCTTTGATATCTTTAGCAAGTTCTATTCAAGGAAAGAGATAGCAATAATCATTCTGCTAACCCCACAAATGCACATTATCTACCCAATTTGAGGTGCTGGTCCTAACATTCCTGTTGGTAATTGGCTGAAGACAATATGTGGCCCACTCCAATACTGAAAACAATCTGAAAGATTTCCTTGGAGTTTTGTGGGATTTGGTTCTGGCCCACCTTAGCGCCTGCAGTAGCATTTCCTATATTGCATTCACTGATTTTGTGGTCAAGCGTTGTAACTTTTGACTGGGTGATCTTGCTGTAGCCCCAGCAAGGGGCCAGTTCTGCCCCACAGAGCCCCAAAAGCCCTCACTTCTAATTGAGGGTCATTACGTGGGTGTAGCGTGAGCAGAATAGCCTCCTGCATTTCTATTTAATCTTTTGTGCAGCTGCTAGCTTGAAACAATTAACAGATATGAGCCCTACAACAAAGTGGTGCCATTTTGGCATGCTAATGTCTGTCGGTAGCAAGCACAATATTTCACATGAGTTTGCACGTTTTCTCTTTAAGAAAATAGTAATAAATGAAGTCTTTCGTTCTTTATATAAGCAGATAAGTATCAGAGTTCTTCAAACTTACTTCACTGTCTTGGGAGCTAATTTCAAAATGTTCCTATGCTACCTTTATCTTTAAATGATTTTTTAATTACTGTTCTACTGCTGAGATTACAAACTGGCATTCAGTTGAATTACCGGCTAGATATTGCCAACCATTTTACATTTCTATGGACTAGAAAGCTATTTTGTCCAGCCTGTACAATGCTTTTTTTTGTAGCTGCTTCCCGCTGCGACAATTCGCATTCCATGGTCTTCACCAAAACACGCGCAAATTCTCCCTTACTTATTCCTCTAGGTGAGACTGCGAGCCAAAAGCTTCGGCTCTTTAGGGCTGAACCTCTGTTCCTCATGGACCCACAAGGCCTGCAGAAATCACCCAGAGCTTAGCGCGGTTAGGAAAGTCAGGATTTGAACTTCTGTAGGCAAAATTCTGCTTTGGGTTACGGTGGTGCCTCGCCATGGTACTGATCCGAGGTCACTGTTTTACGACACTGTAACCCAGAGTAGATTATGAGCCTGAGTCTCTTTCCCACTTTTGCCTATAATGCAGCTGTAAGGCAAAAGAAAGTACTTGGGAGTAACTGTAAGAAAACAGTCTATGACCTGTGCCATTTCAGCGCTTTGAGGAGTTTGAACACATTGGTAAGTAGTGTGACTCATTTTCACTTGTTGATTACCGGCTTGTAGCAAAAACAAAGCATTTTCTCTACATCAGCAAGTCCAGATTCTGTATGTGTTCTGCCCAGACAGGAGGACTATTTAGCCATACTGTTCTTTCAAGTTAGAGTTTTGTATTACAGTGAAAACCAACATTTTTTAATTTGTGATAAACCTGTATTATAATGCCTTATTTATTTTTAATCTTGTACAGTGTTACAAAACAACAAAAAACATTGGCCTTTCATGTATTATTCACTTTAAAAGATGTATTGTATGAAATTTTGTAAATAGTTTTAGCTCTGAGAGGTAATTGCATGTACACTTGTATAAAAAGATGCAAAAAGGCACAGTTTTAACAAATGTCAATGATTTTTGTAACAGACATTTTACATGTGCATGGAGATTATAAATCCTTTGGAAACAGACATCCCTTTGCTTTTCCTTACAATCTATTGCATGCCACTCATGCCTGACTTCAGTAAAACAAAACAAAACAAAACAGTAAGTTTTCCTAAATGTTTTTGACATATCACTTCTGGCACAGAGTTAAATTCACTAGTTGCATGTGCGTTCAGCAAAGCAAAATCAAAATGCAAACAGCAAAGTAAGAAGAAAAATAATTTAATGATCATGATCTGCCAACTTCAGTGTTCCAAGGTCCGTAATACAGTATATGAAATGTGTTATCAACACCTATGCTATCTTTATAAGGTACCTTTTGGTTGTTAGAAGCAATAAACTCTATTTACTGTAATATAAAAAGCAAGCAGATATTCTAGTTCATAATGGTGTAATATCTGACATTCAGTGGGTACTCTCTGGTACCGCATTTGATGTAGTGTAGTCATTGAGGAGAAGGACCAGATGTCAAATCCATCATTGCTGTATGCAGGTGCAACGCTATGGAAGTTAATGGAGGTGAATTTGGCCCATTGATGTTACCCAGAGTATATTTTTAGTGTGGTAATAAGTTATTGTATCTGAAAAGTACACACCGCAAATAGATTCTTTTCTTAGATA